TAGGTCGTCATTACAGTCTCATCTGTTTGGGTAACACTGTATGATGTAATTTTAACCTCTGTTATACAGGGTGTTTTTAATTCTGTAATTTATAATTCTGGTGCAGCACAGGTTAAATCATCATGGATTATATTTATTCAATTTGGCACACAAACTGATTCTAGAGTGGAAGTTGTCTGCAACTTTGACATGGGCGACAGGGGGTTTAACGCTGCTCCCTCATTTTTCGACCGATATGACTGTAATTTTCAGGAAACCATTTCTATGACCAGGTCTAGATTTTAATAAAGTTTCAGAAAGATCGGAGAATTATTTCTGGTTCACCCTTCCACAAAACAGGATTTTTGAATGAACATTCGATGTAAAGGAAAATATGAAATTGCAGATTTACATGTTTTTTCCCAGATTTTCTTTACGGATTTTAAAACGTCCATTAATAAGCTACTCAGAACTTTTTTAAATCAAAAAGATTTTTAAAAATGGCTGTAATAATAGCTTTTCAAAAATTACATATTTAAAAATCCCTGTTTAATCGTATTTGAAAAAAGGATCAGTTACTATTACAGCAATGATATATATTTCAGAAATCATCCAACATGTCACATTTTGTAAAGATTGCGGGTTACATTCACATCCGGACACATATACATTCTTTGTTTCTGTTTCGAATTAGATATTTGTTAAAAACTTCACAAAAAAACCTTGAAGATATTTATGACAATATTCAAATGATAGTAAAGGAAACAACTTAAAGATATTACTGGGAATATATTAAAATGATTTCGCTAAAAAATGAAAAAAAATAAGAAAAAAATGTACCCACAAAAAAGGTTGTAAGTGTACTTCGTTCTTGATTCAAACAAAGTAAAGCGAATTGTAATGTTCAGTGTTAGCGTTCCTTGCTCCTCCGACTTACAAACTCCATGGATTTTGACCATGATGTAATTAGGTCTATTTTACTAAATCAACAAAAAATTTTATCTCGTGATAATTATAGGTTTTATCCTCATACATCTCATCTTATCTTTCTATCTATCTATCTATCTATCTATCTATCTATCTATCTATCTATCTATCTATCTATCTATCTATCTATCTATCTATCTATCTATCTATCTGTCTAGGAGGAAGAAAACTGTAACGTATTAAAGCCCTCTGCCCTGACTAAAGGGAAGAAGAGGAAGAATATACCGAAGGAAGAATCAGCTCCCCCTGTATCTATCTATCTATCTATCTATCTATCTATCTATCTATCTATCTATCTATCTATCTATCTATCTATCTATCTATCTATCTATCTATCTGTTTATTCAGTTGTCTATCTATAGATTATTTTTACATATCTCCCTGTCTAACTGACTTTTTTATTTACCAATCCTTCTATTTACGTTTGTATTTAAGTAAATCTCCGCGTATAGTTTTATTTCTCTGTATTCCTGTCTAAATGTGGTTTTATTTCTCTGTATTCCTGTCTAAATGTGGTTTTATTTATCTGTATTCCTATCTAAAAGTGGTTTTATTTACCCCATTTTCAGTATAAATAGCAATCTAAATACCTTTCAAGAAATACATATTCAGTAATCAGTTTCCATGTAAATGCATCCATATAATTATTTGTCGCCTGCTATCTGTATAAGTCCTGATTTATAAGATAATATCTGTTTATCGAATTCTTGACTTTGAAATGGATTCATCATATTTCCATCAAGTAATCAAGGTGTGTATATCTATCTATCTGTACTATCTGACCGTGTATCTATATCAAATAACCTCTTCAATTATCCCAAAAATCTCATTTTTGTGGATTTTCTGTAGACTGGTCAATTTAGGTTCACCCCCGGGGTGCCTTATAGAAATAACTTACTTACAAGCGACACATTCAGGGGCAATAGTTGAGATACAGGGGGATACAGACTGGCAGACTGGATAAAGGAGGATACAGAAGGATACCCAAGGATACAAATGAATACAGGAGGATACAGAGGAATAAAGAAGGACACAGAAGGATACAGAAGAATACAGAAGGATACAGAAGGATACAGAAGGATATAGAAAGATACCGAAGGATACTGTATCCTGGTAACCAAGTACAACATACTGATGGTTTCGCTGGAACACAAAGAAAACAATTGTAATCATAGAGATAGAAAAAAGAGAACGGTGAGAAATGATGAAGTGGGTTTCCGATGAGAGGGATACTGTATCATAGTCAGCAAAAATTATGAAAACAATGTAAATTGATTTCTTCTCTCACATAAATACTTCTCAAAAATGTATGGAAAAATATGGTTTTTCAAAAGTAGCTTACATACAGTTTCCCCAAAAGTGTTAAAGTTTCCCTAGATCTGATATGTATGGAGTTTCCTGTAAAAGTGGTATATAGAGTCCCTCTAAAAGTATTGGTAGCCTTAAGGTGGTGTTATTTCCGTAAAGCGTCATAGAGATCCCTAAACTGGTATCGATCCCTTGAAGTGTGAAAGTCTCCTTAAATTAGTTTGGTAATATGTGCATTATAATGTCTCAAAAAGTGATTTAAAGTACGGTAAAGTAGTATCTAGTCCTCTAAAAAGTGATTTAAAGTACGGTAAAGTAGTATCTAGTCCTCTAAAAAGTGATTTAAAGTACGGTAAAGTAGTATTTAGTCCTCTAAAAAGTGATTTAAAGTACGGTAAACTAGTATTTAGCCCTCTAAAAAGTGATTTAAAGTACGGTAAAGTAGTATTTAGTCCTCTAAAAAGTATGATCACTGAGAATCCTAAAATGTCCTCTGTGAGGTGTTTATTAAACCCCTGAGATAAAAATCTGAATATCCTGAGACTAGTTAAGATGTAGATTTAGATATAGGGTGAGCCGCGAGACCTTCGCGAATATATTCGAGATAGATAGATAGATAGATAGATACATAGATAGATAGATAGGTTGATAGATAGACAGATATATAGACAAATAGATAAATTGATAGAAAGACAGATAAATAGACAGATAGATAGAGATAGATAGATAGATAGATAGATAGATAGATAGATAGATAGATAGATAGATAGATAGATAGATAGATAGATAGATAAACAGATAGATTGACAGATATATAGACAAATAGATAGATAGATAGATAGATAGATAGATAGATAGATAGATAGATAGATAGATAGATAGATAGATAGATAGATAGATAGATAGATAGATAGATAGATAGATATATAGATAGATTGATATATAGATAGATAGATAGATAGGTAGATAGATAGATAGATAGGTAGATAGATAGATAGATAGATAGACAGATAGATAGATAGATAGGATTGATGCTTATAGTTAGATAAAATGGCCTCATACAATTATCACAGACAAGCAGACACCATAGTTTTAGTAAAAGTAAATATTTCCATTTACTGATAGCGACGATTAAAGGATTCATAACTCTGATTGGATAATAAGATAGATAGAAAGACAGATGTTACCACCAAACTATTTCCATTGGCTCAGTTTAGACACCAAACACATGACTGAACCCTGATTGGGTCAGGCGCTAATGGACTCGGCATACAGTAGTGCAGAAGTACCCGGCGTTGCCTTTGCCCATCAATCTTTAGTTTCTTCAGTTAGTTTCTTTTTCTGGATCAATATTTTTAATATTTCTTTTTCTGGATTAATTATAATTCATATGTATCTCGATTAATATTAATCATATTTCTATATCTGGAATAATATTATTCATATTTCTGCCTCTCTGGATCAAAATTATTCATATTTCTGTTTCTACATTAATATTGATAATAATACTGTCTCAGGCTTAATATTATTTATATTTCTGTTTCTGATTAATATTATTCATATTTCTGTATATGGATCAATATTACTCATATTTCGGTATCAAATTAATATAAATCATAACTCTTATTTCTGTAAAATCAATTCTACACTAATGTTCTTATCTCTTATATTTAATTTACCTACCTTGTACTGTAAATAAAAGGTTATAGTAAAAAACGTTTTATAATTATTAAAATCAACATTGAGAGAGAAGGCTTGTAACACAAACCTCGTTGATTTAAAACAAACTCAGGCCACCGGTCTTTCTTAAACAAAAATATATTAAATTTTGCTTGTTTTTTATTTTACTACATGATGTTATAATATCCCTGTATTGTGTTGTTAAGCTGACCCAGTTTAGGGTTGCAGAATGAAAGAAAGGCCCGGGAATAAAACGACGCTTGTTCGTGTGGCGTCGGGCTCCCCATTCAACAACTGTTCACCAGGCACAAGTGTAAATATAGAAAGCGAACCCATAGATAGATAGATAGATATAAAGATAGATAGAAGGATAGAAAGATAAACAGATAGGTAGATAGATAGATAGATATAAGGATACATAGATAGATAGATAGATAGATAGATAGATAGATAGATGAGGCGGAGGAGGCTATTTAGGACTATGGAGAAGGAGGGTGCACAGGACTAAAAGCTGGGGAGAAACGGAAGAACGGAAGTAACCATTAAAAGAAAATATTGAAAAGGAAGCCTTCCACTTGATAATCTTAAAATAAATCTTTTCTCCCAACTAATTCCAATCAATTGCGTTCCTCCACTTTTTTAATCTTCTATATCTTTTCCCAGGTTTCCGTATTTATTTAATTAGACCCGTATACCACCTCTCCCTTCAGCCACCATCAAACAAAGATCTATATCTATCTATCTAAGTATCTATCTATCTATCTATCTATCTATCTATCTATCTATCTATCTATCTATCTATCTATCTATCTATCTATCTATACGTTATAGTTCAATCGGGTGTCCCACATCATATTAGACCGTCAACGGGTCTAAATTGCTATTTTCGGGACTAATAAGAAAATTTAAATAGAATATATATTTAACCAAGCTCATCATGCTTCAAAAAACCTTTTTACCCTCTCTCCCTATTCTGTTTAGACCGCTATAAATATTTATATATCTACCCTCTCTTGGGATTCAAGATCTACTCTCCCAATACCTACCTCTTGGTTTTGGGATTGAAGATCTACCCTACCATTACCGACCTCGTGGTATTGAGATTCAAGATCTACCTTCCCAATATCGACCTCTTGGTTTTGGGATTCAAGATCTACCTTCCCAATACCGACCTCTTGGTTTTGGAATTCAAGATCTACCTTCCCAATACCGACCTCTTGGTTTTGGGATTCAAGATCTACCCTCCCAATACCGACCTCTTGGTTTTGGGATTCAAGATCTACCTTCCCAATATCGACCTCTTGGTTTTGGGATTCAAGATCTAGCCTCCCAATACCGACCCCTTGGTATTGGGATTTAAGCTTTGTTTATTCCATTTCCAGTAGAAATTGAAACAGGCCTTTTCTTTGTCAAGCGTTATTGTATAAAGAGTTTAAAACATTTGAAAGAACGGAAATTGACACATTTTCTTCTGACGTAAGGTTTAACCGATCTATCATTGGTCAAAACTCGTTTGGTCTATTTAAAAGTTTTCACTCCCGTTTAATTTTCAGCCAATTTTAATCCGGTTTCCTTCTACTCTATCCCATCTTATCTGTAGGTTTCTAATTTCACCTTTATGAAATTCAACGCTGTTTGGTTTAAGATTAATCCAATAGTTTGCAGATTATTAAAATATTGAAAATATTGATATTTTTAATGTTTCGCTTGAATAAACTGAGGGAAACTTGAACTCTTGTCTTATCCAGAAAATATTTAAAATCCATATTTTTAGAATAAAGTTTAAAACTGATGCTACAGGTACAAACTGCTGCAGTTACTCAGACGCTTTTAGGACACCGCTAATTTAGATTTAAAAGATGCTTATTAGCCCAGAAGAGGAGGAGGGAGGGGGAGAGTNCCCTCTTCTTAATCCTACCCCCCCCCCTCCATCATTTACTAGCAGCCCCCAAACCCCAACACCCTCTAACGATGTAAGACTGTGAGAATCTACACGTTTTAGTCAAATATTGAATTCCGGGACATTTTTTGGGGTATTCATTAGTTCAAATAGGACTTGAGTCAGGATAATTGATTGGCGAAAATTGGGCAAAAAGTGTCCATTTTTAGGAATAATGAGGGTTTTTAGGTTAAATACAATAGTGGGGGTTTAAATTGACAAATAGATAGACGGATAAATGGTTTATAGATAGGAGAGAGATTCTACAGAACAGTAGGAGATAGTTAGATAGTTGGAAAGGTAGAGATTTGGATAGGTAGATGTTGGATAGGTAGATGTTGGATAGATAGATAGTTGGATAGCTAGATCGTTGGATTGGTAGATAGTTGGATAGGTAGATAGTTGGATAGGTAGATAGTTGTATAGGTAGATAGTTTGATAGGTAGATAGATGGATAGGTAGATAGTTGGATAGGTAGATAGTTGGATAAGTAGATAGTTGGATAGGTAGAGAGTTAGATAGGTAGATAGTTGGCTAGGTAGATAGTTAATATTGCATGATTGATCGATAGATAGATTTATTCTATCAATTACTTTTTTTATATTATTTTATTCGTTTGTCTATTTATCTATCCGTTTATGTATCTATTTATCTATCTATTTATCTATCTGTTTATCTATCTGTTTATTTATATATTTATCTATCTGTTTATCTTTTTGTTTATCAATCCGTTTATCTATCTGTTTATCTATTTGTTTATTTATCTGTTTATCTATCTGTTTATCTATCTGTTTATCTATCCGTTTATGTATCTGTTTATATATCTGTTTATCCTGTTTATCTATCTGTTTATTTATCTATTTCTCTATCTGTTTATCTTTTTGTTTATCAATCCGTTTATCTATCTGTTTATCTATCTGTTTATCTATCCGTTTATCTATCTGTTTATCTATCTGTTTATCTATCTGTTTATCTATCTGTTTATCTATCTGTTTATTTATCTATTTATCTATCTGTTTATCTTTTGTTTATCAATTCGTTTATCTATCTGTTTATGTATTTGTTTATTTATCTGTTTATCTATCTATTTATCCATCTGTTTATTTATCTGTTTATCTATTTGTTTATCTATCTGTTCATTTATCTGTTTATTTATCTGTTTATCTATCTGTGTATCTGTCTGTGTATCTATCTATCAATATTAAGTGTATTTGAAGGGTTAAAATTAAGTTTTATTGTATTATCCTCGTCTGACAGAAATTAGAGGGCACAAGACTAAATTACACTAAACATATTGACCCTAGGTAAAACTCAACCCTTTTCCAACCGATTCCACCCTCGACCACGATTTACGTCACATTTTAATGGTTTTTTATATAATACAAGCAATCTTACACTTGAAGTAACTAAGGAATATAAACAAGAATTGTTTTATCAACTGTACTAGAATTCAAACAATGTTTTTCTAGAATGTGCAGACGCTTATGAATGCGGGCTTTACAGCTCATATATATTTCATTCTGAAGTAACTTAGTGCCTTGCAGACGATCCTTCACTTAGAAACATAGACCTTTGAATTGTTTAGTTGTTCAATAGAGATTAATATGAAGGAAAATTGTCTTAGGGTGAAAGTTTCCCTGTCTAAAACATTTCTGTTCAAGGACAATTTTCTGTTCAGGAAATATTGCTGTTTAGAAAAGATTGCTCTTTCATACTTTTGGTCTGTCTTTTATTCAACTTGAAAATATGTGTCGAGGAACGTTGAGATGGTGTCTCTGTCATAGGAATGTTGGGTCGGTATTTAGTTCTGTTCCATGGAAACTATGTTTTGGGAACTATGAGTCGGTATTTAGATCTGTTCCATGAGTTCTGTGTCGTGGGAACGATGGGTCTGTGTTTACTTCTGTTCCATGGTTCTGTTTCGGGGAACGTTTGGTCGGTATTTACTTCTGTTTCGCGGCTTCTGTGTCGGGAAACGTTGGGTCGGTGTTTAGATGAGCTCCGCGGTTTCTGTGTCTTTTGTTCACGTAAATTGAAATAATTACACAATTCTTGTTTGAATAAGAAAATATAGAGTAAAGAAATAAGACAATAATAAAACACTTTCTGTCTATCTATCTATCTATCTATCTATCTATCTATATATCTATCTATCTATCTATCTATCTATCTATCTATCTATCTATCTATCTATCTATCTATCTATCTATCTATCTATCTATCTATCTATATATCTATCTATCTATCTATCGGTCAAAGAAGAATGAAAGTGTAGTACTACTTCTATACTAACCTCTATAAACGCTAAGAGCCCAAAACTAAAAACAAATTAAAAAATATTATATATTTAAATATTTGAATATTCGGACATCCAATATAATAAGTTAATTTTACAGACTTGTACACCATGTACATGTACACCATGTACATGTACACCATGTACATGTACACCATGTACATGTACACCATGTACATGTACACAATGTACATGATGATTGAAATATAAAAAACGGTTGCACATAGCTCTCCACTGTAAACCAAACAGAAGGAGAAAGTCAAATTTATGCAAGTTTACCGATACAGCTTTTAGACCTCGTAGTCCTAGCTTCTCTAGTTTTTATTTTACAAAGTATAAATAACACATGTCAGAAATTCAAAATATTATTTTTTCTTTTCAACAGCTCTTCAAAATGAGGAGTTATAAATATTGAAAACAAATAGCTTTTCAATCATTATATTCAATTTGTTTAATGTTTACGTGTCTCATTTATTTCATGTTTTTCTACTAAAATAGCTTCATGAATGATTAAAATATACATACATTACTTGTTCATTTAGCTTAATTGATCAGTAGCCAGTACATGATCATGATCATGTACATTACAATCAATAGCTAGACCTTGAACATGTTAAAATATAATATATTGCCATGGCTATTCATAATACATCTCTATATATATATATATACTTTGCTTGTCTGCCTGTGTGTTTGTCCGTTTGAATCCAATGAACGTCAAAAGGGCTGAACCGATCCGGCCCAAATTTTGTGAAGGACCTTAACATGACCCCAGGGAAGGATTAATTCTGGAGGCTCAGAATTATAAAGCTTGCGTCTAAAAGTTTTTGATTTTGTAAAATTTTGAAAATACTCGAAAAAATATCATTAAATCAACGATTTTTTTCTGTTATTGCTTTATATTTTACTAAGAGTAGATGCGCATAGAATTAAGCCACTATCTAAAGTTGAAGTAGAATATAGGCGCCTAAAAATCTAGTATATTAAAAATAGCTCACACTAAGTTTTGAAAAAGAAAGTTTTTAATGCGGAAAGTGAAAATAGGAATACAAAGGAAATGAAGGAGATGGGGAATGGGGGGTTGGGGGGTTGGAGAAAAGAAATATAATGGGTTTAGTGTGGGAATCTTATAAACAGCAAATACTGTGGTTAAAACTAAACCTAGAGATGCTGAACTCTGGTTTAAACAATCTTGGAAACTATAACATACAAGATCTATCTATCTATCTATCTATCTATCTATCTATCTATCTATCTATCTATCCATCTATGTATCTATCTATCTATCTATATAATATATCTATCTATCTATCTATCTACACATTTAGAGAGGATAAAAATTAGATAAATATATAAAGATAGATAGATATATATATGAAGACAGATAGATATTCATATATATATATATATATAGACAGATAGATAGATATAAATACAGTTAGATATACGCTAGTCTACTTTTGAATTCCATACTATTGTCTGCAGAAAAGTGTTGACAAGAATATCTATCTATCTATTTATGTATCTATCTATCTATCTGTTAAAATGTAGAATTTGAAGACTGGTTGAAGACTAGTGGAACGGAAATGGAATGCTATGTATTGAATGTATATAAAGGTATAAAGGGTGGATATATACTCTGGAAGCTAGGTCACTAGATGTAACCCAAGCGCAGCCAATTTAAAAACATGTCTGGCTGGGACAACAAATCAGGTCGTATTGAGGAATTCAGTGAAATCTCTGTTTTTTCTTTTAAAGGAATTTAAATAATATTATGATTATTTATGGTTAACTCTGTAAAAAAAGGATTTGTGGTTAACTCTGTAAAAAGAAAGAATTTGTGGGTAACCCTGTAGAAAGGAAAGATTTTGTAATTAACCCTTTAGAAAGGAAGGATTTTGTGGTTAACCCTTTAGAAAGTAAGGACTTTGTGGTTAACCCTGTTAAAAAAAGATTTAATAGTTAATCCTGTAGAAAGGAAGGATTTTGTGGTTAACTTTTTAGAAAAGAAGAATTTTGTGGTTAACTCTGTAGAAAGGATTTGTGGTTAACCCTGTAAAAAAAGGATTTTGTGGGTAACCCTGTAAAAAAAGGATTTTGTGGTTAACCCTGTAGAAAGGAAAGAT